TGGGGCAAGAAAGTACCTGGAAGTCTATGTCAGTGTCAGTGATCCTGTGATAACTTGACATTGAGAGACTGAGGGAGAAACTAAAGGAAATACTTTCTGAACTGAGCTAAGAAAAATACAACTATTTTTCAGCCCACAAAACAAACTGTCTTAGAAATGGGAAATTTAATATTTAAAGATTCTCTTGAAAGTTTGTGGAGAGAGATATATATATATGTATATATATATAAAATGTAGTAAAACTTGAGGGATATAGTAAGAATGCTTTTAGGAGTACTGTTTATAATGAAGGAACTTAGCTACATTTTAAATAAACCTTTACATTATGAACACTTCTTTCAGTTTCTTGTAAAAAGTACTATAAAATCAGTATTCTTAATGCATGCATAAAATGATGCCTTACATATCTGATATGGGACTTTTCTACACCTGCAGAGAGAAAGCACTATTTTTTTCTAAACAGAAACAGGCTGTTATTTGCAGATCTACTCTGCTGCTCTGAGTCATTGATGGTTACAGGCTTATATATTTACCCTGAGGTGCAAAGCATTTTCTTCAAGGCCTAAAGTTAAATCATTTTTCAGTGTGCATAAAGGTACATTCTGAGTTTTGTTTGTCTCGCTACATATACTTGGAAAACAAGGTCAAGCATTTGTTAAAATGTGTGTGTGTGTTGGCATCAGTTGCATTCTTTTTTTCCTCTTCCTGTCTGAAGGGTACCCTTGATGTACCTTTTCCACTGCTCACCGTTATGGGTTTTAATCACATCAGTAGAATTTTTTGTACTGCTTTGGTGAAAGGTCATACTTATTGGGCTGACTTGTCTATTTATTTCTATCTGGTAATCTTAGAATATGCTGTAATCTAGGATAAAGATAAATACAGGCACACCATTTAGGATTTTTGCATCTCTTCACAGAAAAGATTGGCGTGTAAGAGCTCCTCCCTTTTTGAGAACACTGCCATGATCTAATTTTGGTTATTCTAACTGAATGAAATGAATTGGATGGCTTTCATTGCTATGAAACAATTTGTGTGCTTAGTCACTTAGTTGTGTCCTACCCTTTGTGACTCATTGGACTGTAGCCTGCCAGCCTCCTCTGTCCATGGGAATTTTTAGGCAAGAATATTGAAGTAGGTTGCCGTTTCCTTCTCCAGGAGATCTTCCAGACCCAGGAATCTTTTTTTTTTTTTTTTTTTAGTTGGAGGCTAATTACTTTACAATATTGTAGTGATTTTTGCCAGACATTGACATGAATCAGCCATGGATTTACATGTGTTCCCCATCCCAATCCCCCCTCCCACCTCCCTCCCCATCCCATCCCTCTGGGTCTTCCCAGTGCACCAGCCCTGAGCACTTGTCTCATGCATCCAACCTGGGCTGGTGATCTGTTTCACCCTTGATAGTATACTTGTTGCACTGCTATTCTCTCAGAACATCCCACCCTCGCCTTCTCCCACAGAGTCCCAAAGTCTGTTCTGTACATCTTGTGTCTCTTTTTCTGTTCTGCATATAGGGTTATCATTACCATCTTTTAAAATTCCAAATATATGCATTAGTATACTGTATTGGTCTTTATCTTTCTGGCTTACTTCACTCTGTATAATGAGCTCCAGTTTCCTCCATCTCATTAGAACTGATTCAAATGAATTCTTTTTAATGGCTGAGTAATATTCCATGGTATATATGTACCACAGCTTCCTTATCCATTCATCTGCTGATGGGCATCTAGGTTGCTTCCATGTCCTGGCTATTATAAACAGTGCTGTGATGAACATTGGGGTGCACATGTCTCTTTCAGATCTGGTTTTCTCGGTGTGTATGCCCAGTAGCAGGATTGCTGGGTCATATAGCAGTTCTATTTCCAGTTTTTTAAGAAATCTCCACACTGTTCTCCATAGTGGCTGTACTAGTTTGCATTCGCACCAACAGTGTAAGAGGGTTCCCTTTTCTCCACACCCTCTCCAGCATTTATTGCTTATAGACTTTTGGATAGCAGCCATCCTGACTGGCATGTAATGGTACCTCATTGTGGTGTTGATTTGCATTTCTCTGATAATGAGTGATGTTGAGCATCTTTTCATGAGTTTGTTAGCCATCTGTATGTCTTCTTTGGAGAAATGTCTGTTTAGTTCTTTGGCCCAATTTTTGATTGGGTCATTTATTTTTTTGGAATTGAGCTGCAGGAGTTGCTTGTATATTTTTGAGATTAATCCTTTGTTGCTTCGTTTGCTATTATTTTCTCTCATTCTGAAGGCTGTCTTTTCACCTTGCTTATAGTTTCCTTTGTTGTGCAAAAGCTTTTAAGTTTAATTAGGTCCCATTTGTTTATTTTTGCTTTTATTTCCAATATTCTGGGAGGTGTAGACCCAGGAATCTAACTCATGTGTCTCCTGCATTGCAGGCAGATTCTTTCCCCACTGAGCCTTTGAAGAAGCCTCATAAAACAATTTACATATATGGAAATTACCTGTTCCCTAAAAGTAGGAAGGAACTCTGATATAGAACTTCCCAAGTGAAATGATAAATGCTGTGAATAAAAATAAAGCAAAGTAAGGGGACAGAATGAATGGCCTGCTGTTTCAGAGGAGACTGTTAGAAGAGGTCTCGCAGATGAGCAGAGATCACCATGAAGTGAGGGAGCAAGCCATGCAAGTATCTGAGGAAAGCGCATCCTAGCAGAGGAAGCAAGGGCCAAAGCCACGAGAAGGCACTGTGCTTGGCATATGCAAAGAACAGCAAGGAGACCAGTGTATTTAGAGCAAAGGAGAGAATGGAGAGGTAAATCTGAGAGGGAGTGAGGGTTCAGTTTCTTTGGAGCCTTATAGGCAAAATTCAGCAGAACCTACAGTTCTTTTTCATTTCTGTTCATCTTAAATTTTGTTTCTTAATCATGTTTTTCTCTTTCTTTGATTTGACTGCTCATGTAGTATATTTTTTGTCTTTTCTTTTTCTATTTTTAATAAAGTTTTAAGAATAAAAGTTTTCTTTACGTACAACTTTGCTTGCATTCTGTAAGGTTCATGGCCATAAGTCAACTGCAAGCTATGTGCAGAAATGGAGGATTTAAATTGGCATATTGCTATCCCAGACAGAATCAGGGTTTTGTTAATAAGGAAGAGTGGGGGAATAAATATTGCATAAACTACTAGCAATATCTTTCACAAAATCCTTTGGGTCTGGAAGATTTTCCTATAGATTCCCATGCTATACAGACTGTTACAAAGCATCGCGAGATGGAAAGATAGCCAATTTATTTTATAAAACTGCCAGAATCTTGTATCAAAACCTGATAAAGATGAATGAAAAGGAAAATTAGAGACCAGTTTAACTTACGGATATAACTGTGAAAAGTCAGAATACAAACATTTCAGTTTTTCAGCACATTGAAAGAATCATCCATCATGATCATGTAGGGTTCATACCCAAAATGCAAGAGTGCTTTAATATTAAGAAAGCTTTTAATACCATAAAACATACCAAAAAATCAAATAAGAAAAATATAATCACGATAGGTAAAGATTTGATCAAAGTCAACCCTTATTTCTGATTAGAAAACTGATCTTAGATAACTAAAGCTAGAAATGTATTTCTTTAATGAAATAAAGATATCTAGCTCCTATTCTGGTCAAGTTTATTCCAGTTCAATGAACAAAGGTATATTCTATCTATCACCAGCCTTATCAATCTATGACTTCAAAATATACTTTCAAGTAATATCTGAAGTAGGATGGCAGAGAACCATGATGATGTACTCCCAGTTACTTCTGAAAGTTTCTCAGTTTCTTTTTCATGTGCTGCAGAACACATCCCCCCTCATTACTAAACTCACATGTTTCCAACTTGCCACTGTACATATAGCTGCAATAACTGGTTAGGTAGAATGATGGGCATACCTGTTCTTCACTCAGGGAAAAGGAGCACACACCAGTTCCTATTTTTCTATTTGAGAGTAAAAATAAGGATACTTCTGATATTGACTTTGAACTTTTAGCATTAGATAGCTTTATAGAATCAAATTATCTACTCCTTTGTGAAGTGTATAGTATGGATTTGGGGCATTCTAGGTGACTCAGTGGTAAAGAATCTGCTTACCAATGAAGGAGACACAGGTTCTCAATACCTGGGTTGAGAAGATCCCCTGGAGGAGGAAATGGCAACCCACTCCAGTATTCTTGCCTGGGAAATCCCATGGACAGAGAAGCCTGGTGGGCTGTATAGTACATGGGGTGTAAAGAGTCAGCCATAACTTGGCGACTGAGCACACAACAACATGAATTTGTTCTGATAATATGTAGACAGAGGCTCATTAACTTTTGAAACCACAGTAATGTGTGTTTTATACAAGTATTTTAAAGCCATTTTTATTTACCACAACCCACCTTATGAAATGCATTTTATATTGTGACCAAGTGTACACACACACACACACACACACGTTCTATGCATTGATAACTATGTAATTTTTTTAAAGTTTCACAAAGCTTACCAAGGAGCTATGCAAAATGCTCTCATTTATTTATCTATTTTATTCTACCTTATTTAAAAAATCTGTATCAACCCACCAAATTTCCTTAGACCACACTTTTTAGCAGTTCAGAGGGTGATTCTTTGGACTGTTAAATAAATGTCTGGAGTTCAAGGAGTCAATTCTGGAAGATGAGAATGTATTGGTTTTTAGAAACGTATTCTAATTTTGTTGTAAATATTAACTTTTCATGTATAGGCAGGATGCTTTTGGTGCTAGTTGCTAGTTTGTCTTTGATTTCTAGGAGAGTGACAGGATAAGAAAGAATTTTCTAAATGGAGATTTCTTTTCTTCCTGCAGCTCTCATGTGTGACTGGAAGTCCAGTGCATCATTAACCTAAGGACCTCACCACTTGGAAGTTACAGTTTTCACCATCAGCCTACCTTTTCCTTTTTGGTCTGGTTCTTTTCATCAAAACAGTGGAAACATCTTTCTTTTAATAAAGTTGCTTTTGATGCAGAGTTAAGCAAATGGCTGATAACAGCTGTGGTAAAAAATCTACAGAGTGCCCCCACTGCTCATCTGCTTCTCAGAAAAAAGCGCTTTGTATATGTTCTTGTAAAACAAAGCTTTCTCCAATGTCAGTGGTCGAAATGTCACAGACATCAAGCACAGGTAGTTCAGAATTTATAGTTTCACCAGAAAAAAAAAAAGAAAAAGGAGCCAGCAAGGATGTTGCCTCTGGAAAAGATTCGGTAATTATTAAAGATTCTACATCTCAACACAAGTTGGTGTCCCATTCCCTAATCCCATCCTTACATTCATCCTTATCCATGGGCTCTTGTCAGCTGATTCATTGCCTTCTTTACTATTAAGGTAACATTTCTTTCTTACAGAAGAAGTAAGAAAAATCGGTTGATAATTTCTTTCATTCTGTTAACCAACTACTGCCCCAAATTAATGACTTCCCAGGATTATAAATAATTTGGAATGTTATTCCAGCTTTTATTAAAAAATGGTTTATATGGAAATTGATTGGTTTTCAAATTGAATTAAACCCGAATTTGGTGGTGTTTTCTTCAACTGCTGCAGAATGAGATTTATGATTGTGGTTAAATATAGGGTGGTTATTATTTAAGACAGTTCCTGGTTATCTAGATGGAATATCAAATATCCCTTACAAAATTGATTTGCCTTAGTTACAATCTGTGAATACCCAGTTGGACTGGTTTGGGTATGTTTGCCTTTATAGAGAAGAGGCACTCTGGAAGACTGTCATTGATAGAGCATAAATTTGGAGACAGAGAGCAGTAAGTTTAAGAAAAGTTAGGTTCTCAGTCCTCAAATTTATACCTTTTTCAAATTTTCACTCTAAACTGTTATTTCTGAATTGTATTATGGTATAGTTATTGCCATATAGATGTCTCTGAGTGAATTGTTGGTATATTATTTTCATTCAAAGCATATTTTGTGAATGTCTGGTTAGTAATTTCTTGTGTATAACCTATTTGAGATGATTGTTATGTCTTGAAACTAGAGAGATTGAGAAAACTGTGAAGTTGCCTTCTCTTATGATTTTAAAGATTTTAAGTCCTGATTTATCTTCTGTGCAGGTCATCATGTAGAATTGCCTGGATTCAGGAGATTAGATTGAATAACTTAAGGCCTGTTTTAGCCTAATGAGTGAATGAATTATATAGGGCTTTGAATTTGAAAAAGGCGATAAACTGTCTTGTATACAATAAATATCTTGACACACATTTAAAAAGTTTCAGATTATCTAAATTAGGGTTCTTACTTTGTCAACAAGTGTCTTGTATCTTAATGTTAATATTAAAATTTCTTTTTGGTCCAAGCCCTCAAAATCTTCACATGTAGAGAGAAAACCGTCTCAGCAACAGCGGGGTCGGGGCAACTTCACAGAAGGAAAAGTTCCTCACATACGGATGGACAGTGGAGCCGCCATTCAGGTATAGGGAGGCCACACTGAGCCGCTAGAAACGTTTCAGGTCTCTCCTAAGCCAGCGCTCGTGACAAAGTGGTTTAAAAAGCGAGTCTCTAAGGAGAGAAAAGAAAAGACGAAACTTAGCCTTTTTTAGGATTGTTGAAGTCTTTACTAAAGAAAATGTGGACTAATTATTTTTTCTGTTCATAGAGATGCAACTTGACTTGCATAATTAAGTGGAGGACATTTATTAGATAAAATGGGAGCATTTGGTTTCCAAGCCTTCCCAGTTCCTGAGGGCAGTTGTGAAATCTCTGTATAGACCTACTTGAGAGGCAGAGAGAGACCAGATGACTTAGATGGTTTGGCTGTTCACTTCTTTGATGACCAGTAGGGAGGCCAAAATTTCCCTCGTGGACTTGCCCATTTTCCTCCAGTTTGTGATTGAGTGAATACCAATATTATTCTTCCCAGGATTCTAGTTCTTATATGCAAATATGACTTAAATCTAATACCATCTTAGAAATTAAATGTGTTCTTTTAATGCTAGATTGAAGGAACTACAGCAGGAACAACTACAGGAGGAAAATTCCATTAATGTTAAGTAACTTTGAACAATTGTTTTAAAAAATATTTAGCAATTTACTTGAAGTGATCAGAAAAACTTTCTAAGAAATTCTGACCTAAAAGCTTAAACCTCCCCCTGTTAAAGATTTTGTTAAGTCTTACAAAATCTTACAAAAGACCTGCATTAAAAAAAAAAAATCCACAAATTTACTGTTTTAAATTTAGTCATAAGAGCTTTTGTAAAAGAAAAATGTATTCATTTATCAGCTCACTCATTCATTCCTTGATTGGATTATGGAAAAAATTCTCAGTTTTCCTTCTTTTCTTTGTCTTTGTTCTCCCACATGCTTCTCAGGAGCCATCTCTTTCATACCATTTTCCCTTATGTTCCCAGAATTTTAGCTCTGGTCTCTGACCCCAATGTCGTTTTGTACTTTTTCTTTTAACTTAAGACTGTTTGACTTGGGGCTTCCCTGGTGGTTCAGTGGTTAAGACTCCATGCTCTCAATGCAGGAGACACGGGTTCAAACCCTGGTCGGGGAACTAAGATCCCACATGCCATAGAGCATGGCCAAAACAAAATAAAAATAAACACCTTTAAAAAAAAAAAAAGACTGTTTGACTTAAGTAAAAATCTTATCTCTTGAGTTGCAAATGATGCTGTTGTTGTGCAGTCACTAAGTCGTGTCTGACTCTGCTGGACTGCAGCATGCCAGGCCCTATCCTCCACTATCTTCCAGAGTTTGTTCAAATTCATGTCCGTTGAGCCAGACATGAGACAAGTTATAAGAAAACAGGAATTATGGTTTATTCATCTTTGGAGCCTCCAAAGTATGTATCACAAGAAGATAGCTAAGAAAAATCTACATGTTGAAGCTGAACATGTTTCTTTTCTTCTTTCTCCTTTCCCTTTCTGTGTCTTCCCTTCTCACCCTTGTCTCTTTTTCCTTCCCTTGCTTCCTCTCTTCTTCTTTCTCCTCCCTTCCGTTTCTTCCTTCTCCTTTTTCCTCATGCACTAAGCATGAATATTTTGCCTGCAAGGTTTCAGGCAGGCTTTTTAAAGGATAAAAAAGAAATACCTTTATAAGGTGTTTCTAGACCATCTTAGAAGGAAAAAAATGAGTCCAAATATTTGTAAGCAAGAGAGTAATAATAGTGTTTGAGGACCAATGCATACAAGTTGAAAAAAGTCAGAAGAACATTCACCATGGTGCAGAGTTAGGCAGAAAAGCCTTTTGTGGAGTAGGTAAGTAATTAGTTGGATACTCCATCTTCTTTTACAAAAGTCAGAAAGGAATGTAAGCAGTAGAAAATATGAAGTCTAGCAGTAGTTTATCTGTTGCAGGGTGCAGATGAAAGCAGTCACACAGTGGGAACCTGGCATCTCTAAGGCAGGTTCTAAGAAGTCTCCCAAGAGAGACTTCCCCCAGTGACATTAGCTCAGGGGTTCTCTTCTGTTTTAATCTCTGGGCATAGTGGGTCTAGAAACTCTTGTTAATGCCCTGGAGTTGATTTAGATCAGGGAGACTGACTCTCTCCAACCAAATTCACAAGACCTGAAAGTGTAAATGAGTTACCTGCTTGTTATTTTACAACATGAAATGGAATGCTGGTGGTGTCAAGACCAGTGCATTCTGTCTTTCTAAGCAAGAGTGAAATGATAAATAGAAGGATCCTTGGTTTGGATAATGTCACTATGGATGGTTTTAATTATTTTCTAAATGCTTATTTATATTAAAACTTTAATATAAATATAAAAAAGGATTTATATAATCCTTTTCCTAAAACAAAAAGAAATAAAACAACAAAAGGTGTTTAGTAGAAACAAAGGTTTCTCCTCAATTTAGTAGAAACAAAGGTCCTCTATTTAGTAGAAACAATGAAGAGAAAGGTTACCTGGTAAACAGGAAACCAGTTGTCTAATGGTTAATATGTGTTGATTTTATAGTATAGTTCTCAGAGTTTGGGAATAATTTTTTGGACAACTTATTTTACACAAATATACAGTATATATCAACATATTTGTATACATGTATTAATAGTCCATTCTTTTTCTTGTGAAGGCATTTCTTTAATATTATAGTTTATGAGAGTTTCATTTTTTATATATTTGAAGTTTTTCACATTTCCTTATTAGGATTTTTATGGTTTTTCTCTAAAGGATATTTAATAAGACTCATCAAAACTTATTTTTGCTAATTAAGATGTGTTTATTAATACTGAAGCAAATACATGGTGTCAGTGTCTTCTATTTGATTTTACCCTGGAGTAGAGTCACTCTTCCCTTGGGTGGATGCCTGTCAGTATTATATGTTCATTTGTCATATGAAAGGCAGAGAAAGACAAAGAACTCTTATTTTTTTATCTAGGAAATCTATACCTTTGGAAGAATATTGGGACAAGGGAGCTTTGGAATGGTCATTGAAGCCATAGACAAGGAAAGAGCAACTAAGTGGGCAATTAAAAAAGTGAACAAAGAAAAGGTAAGGCTTCTTAGCAGCATCATACTGAGGGTGCAGTTCTAGTGCAAGGTGGGGTAGGCAGTACAGTTTTACACACTAATATAGCTGACACTTAGGGACAGGGCCTGGGCTGTTGCCCTGGAGAAATGTGGTTATTTCTCTAGCCTTCTGGGCTTCCCTCAAGTTCAGTTGGTAAAGAATCTACCTGCAATGCAAGAGACCCCTGTTCAATTCCTGGGTTGGGAAGATCTGCTGGAGAAGGGATAGGCCACCCACTCCAGTATTCCTGGGCTTCCCTTGTGTTTCAGCTTGTAAAGAATCCACCTGCAATGCAGGAGACCGGGGTTCGATTGGGAAGATCCCATGGAAAAGAGAAAGGCTTCGGTTCAGTTCAGTCGCTCAGTCGTGTCCGACTTTGCAACCCCATGGGCTGCAGCATGCCAGGCCTCCCTGTCCATCACCAACTCCCAGAGTTTACTCAAACTCATGTGCATCGAGTAGGTGATACCATTGAACCATCTCATCCTCTGTTGTCCCATTCTCCTCCCACCTTCAATCTTTCCCAGCATCAGGGTCTTTTCAAATGAGTCAGCTCTTCGCATGAGGTGGCCAAAGTACTAGAGTTTCAGCTTCAGCATCAGTCCTTCCAATGAATATTCGGGACTGATTTCCTTTAGGATGGACTGGTTGTATTTCCTTGCAGTCCAAGGGACTCTCAAGAGTCTTCTCCAACACCACAGTTCAAAAGCATCAATTCTTCGGCACTCAGCTTTCTTTTTAGTCCAACTTACATCCATACATGACTACTTGAAAAATCATAGCTTTGACTAGACGGATCTTTGTTGGCAAAGTAATGTGTCTACTTTTTAATATGCTGTCTAGGTTGGTCATAACTTTCCTTCCAAGGAGCAAGCGTCTTTTAATTTCATGGCTGCAATCACCATCTGCTGTGATTTTGGAGCCCTAAAACATAAAGTCTGTCACTGTTTCCATTGTTTCCCTATTTGCCATGAAGTGATGGGACCAGATGCCATGATCGTAGTTTTCTGAATGTTGAGCTTTAAGCCAGCTTTTTCACTCTCCTCTTTCACTTTCATCAAAAGGCTCTTTAGTTCTTCTTCACTTTCTGCCATAAGGATGGTGTCATCTGCATATCTGAGGTTATTGATATTTCTCCTGGAAATCTTGATTCTAGCTTGTGCTTTACCCAGCCCAGCATTTCGCATGATGTACACTGCCTATAAGTTAAATAAGCAGGTGACAATATTTAGCCGTGACGTACTCCTTTTCCTATCTGGAACCAGTCTGTTGTTCCATGTCCAGTTCTAACTGTTGCTTCCTGCCCTGTGTACAGATTTCTCAAGAGGCAGGTCAGGTGGTCTGGTATTCCCATCTCTTTCAGAATTTTCCACAGTTTGTTGTGATCCACACAGTCAAAGGCTTTGGCATAGTCAATAAAGCAGAAATAGATGTTTTTCTGGAATTCTCTTGCTTTTTTAATGATCCAGCGGATGTTGGCAATTTGATCTCTGGTTCCTCTGTCTTTTCTAAATCCTGCTTGAACATCTGGAAGTTCACGGTTCACGTAATGTTGAAGCCTGGCTTGGAGAATTTTGAGCATTACTTTGCTAGCCCGTGAGATGAGTGCAATTGTGTGGTAGTTTGAACGTTCTTTGGCATTGCCGTTCTTTGGGACTGGAATGAAAACTGACCTTTTCCAGTCTGTGGCCACTGCTGCATTTTCCAAATTTGCTGGCATATTGAGTGCAGCATTTTCACAGCATCTCTTTTTGGATTTGAAATAGCTCAACTAGAATTCCATTACCTCCACTAGCTTTGTTCATAGTGATGCTTCCTATGACCCACTTGACTTCGCATTCCAGGATGTCTGGCTCTAGGTGAGTGATCATACCATTGTGATTATCTGGGTCGTGAAGATCTTTTTTGTGTAGTTCTTCTGTGTGTTCTTGCCACCTCTTCCTAATATCTTCTGGTTCTGATAGGTCCCTACCATTTCTTTCCTTTACTGTACCCATCTTTGCATGAAATGTTCCCTTGGTATCTCTAATTTTCTTGAAGAGATCTCTTGTCTTTCCCATTCTGTTGTTTTCCTCTTATTTCTTTGCACTGATCACTGAGGAAGGCTTTCTTATCTCTCCTTGCTATTCTTTGGAACTCTGCATTCAAATGGGTATATCTTTCCTTTTCTCTGTTGCTTTTCACTTCTCTTCTTTTCACAGCTATTTGTAAGACCTCGTCAGACAGCCATTTTGCTTTTTTGCATTTCTTTTTCTTTGGGATGGTCTTCATCCCTGCCTCCTGTACAATGTCATGAACCTCTGTCCATAGTTCTTCAGGCACTATCAATTCTAATCCTGAATCTATTTGTCGCTTCCACTGTATAATTATAAGGGATTTGATTTGGGTCATACCTGAATGGTCTAGTGGTTTTCCCTACTTTCTTGAATTGAAGTCTGAGTTTGGCAATAAGGAGTTCATGATCTGAGCCACAGTCAGCTCCCAGTCTTGTTTTTGCTGACTGTATAGAGCTTCTCCATCTTTGGCTGTGAAGAATATAATCAATCTGATTTCGGTATTGACCATCTGATGTCCATGTGCAGAATTTTCTTGTGTTGTTGGAAGAGGGTGTTTGCTATGACCAGTGTGTTCTCTTGGCAGAACTCTATTAGCCTTTGCCCTGCTTCATTCTGTACTCCAAGGTCAAATTTGCCTGTTACTCCAGGTGTTTCATGACTTCCTACTTTTGCATTCCAGTACCCTATAATGAAAAGGACATTGTTTTGGGGTGTTAGTTCTGAAAGGTCTTCATAGAACCATTCAACTTCAGCTTCTTCAGCGTTACTGGTGAGGGCATAGACTTGGATTGCCGTAATATTGGATGGTTTGCCTTGGAAACGAAAAGAGATCATTCTGTCGTTTTTGAGATTGCATCCAAGTACTGCATTTTGGACTCTCTTGTTGACTATGATGGCTACTCCATTTCTTCTAAGGTATTTTTGCCCACAGTAGTAGATATAATGGTCATCTGAGTTAAATTCACCCATTCCAGTCCATTTTAGTTCGCTGATTCTTAAAATGTCTATGTTCACTCTTGCCATCTCCTGTTTGACCACTTCCAATTTGCCTTGATTCATGGACCTAACATTCCAGGTTCCTATGCAATATTGCTCTTTACAGCATCAGAGTTTACTTCCATCACCAGTCACATCTACAGCTGGATATTGTTTTTGCTTTGGCTCCATCTCTTCATTCTCTCTGGAGTTATTTCTCCACTGATCTCCAGTAGCATATTGGGCATCTACTGACCTGAGGAGTTCATCTTTCAGTGTCCTATCTTTTTGCCTTTTCATACTGTTCATGGGGTTCTCAAGGCAATACTGAAATGGTTTGTCATTCCCTTCTCCACTGGACCACATTTTGTCAGAACTCTCCACAATGACCAGTCCATCTTGGATGGCCCTACATACAAGGTTGTGGTCCATGTGATCAGATTGGTTAGTTTTCTGTGATTGTGGTTTTCAGTCTGTCTGCCCTCTGATGGAGAAGGTTAAGAGGCTTATGGAAGCTTCTGGATGGGAGGGACTGACTGTGGGGGAAACTGGATCTTCCCCCTCCTGATGGATGAGGCCAGCTCAGTAAATCTTTAATCCAATTTTCTATTGATGGGTGGAGCTGTGTTTCCTCCCTGTTATTTACCTGGGGCCAAACCATGGTGGAGATAATGAAGATAATGACAACCTCCTTCAAAATGTCCCATGCTTGCACTGCCACACTCAGTGCCCCCAACCCTGCAGCAGGCCACCACCAACCCACAACTCTGCCAGAGACTCCTGGACACTCCTGGACAAGTCTGGATTTGTCTCTTGTGGGGTCACTGCTCCTTTTTCCTGGGTCCTGGTGTGCACAAGGTTCCGTTTGTGCCCTCCAAGAGTCTTATTTCCTCAGTCCTGTGTAAGTACTGGCAGCTCTATGGTGGGGTTAATGGCAACCTCCTCCAAGAGGGCTTATGCCATACCCAAGTCTGCTGCACCCAGCCATACCCAAGAGATATGCTACCCACTCCAGGGAAAGACCACCCACTCCAGTATTCTAGCCTAGAGAATTCCATGGGCTGTATAGTCCATGGGGTTGCAAAGAGTGGGACATGACTGAGTGACTTTCAATTTCACTTTCTTTCTTTTACCAGAGTCAGCTGAAGATGAGGGCTGATTATCAGTATATGTAGATGTAGGGTTGTGGGCTAGCATTGTCTTCTTAGTGAGCAGTAGGTCCTGATAGTCTCTCCTGATGTAGTTCTGATATACTTTGCCCTATCCAACCAGTCCATCCTAAGGGAGATCAGTCCTGGGTGTTCACTGGAAGGACTGATGCTGAAGCTGAAACTCCAATGCTTTGGCCACCTTATGCGAAGAGTTGACTCATTTGGAAAAGACCCTGATGCTGGGAGGGATTAGGGCAGGAGGAGAAGGGGACGAGAGTGGATGAGATGGCTGGATAGCATCACCGACTAAATGGACATGAGTTTGGGTGAACTCCGGGAGTTGGTGATGGACAGGGAGGCCTGGTGTGCTGCGATTCATGGGGTCACAAAGAGTTGGAAACGACTGAGCGACTGAACTGAACTGATCCTCTCCTGTCCTTTCATTCATTATTTCCTTGTTGATAGCCAAACTCTGTTTATTCATACTACCAGCTCTTTCCGTTTGAATCACTTTCTCTCCAGCTCTCTTCTGTACTGTTTACCTTGTATCCACTGTATTTCTCAATTTAGATTGCACTGGAGTGAAGAATGGAACGGGCTTCTCTTTAAAGGAGAATCTAAGTCCTCAAACTTTATAACTGATCATTTCATCAACTTGAAAACAATTTCTGTGCTTGAGGAAAAATAAAAGGCAACATTACCATGGTGTTTTTTCCTTGGGTCTGTGACATTACATTTACAAAATGAAATAGTAGGTTATATGTGTTCTTTAAAAAACAAACTATAGGAAATTACATATCATTTCCCCCTAAAGTTTAATAAAGTAACATTAAATCTTAATAAGGGGAGATCCAGAGTCCTTCCAGAAATCCCTAGGATTAGCTAAATGGGATTTCCTTTGTTTCTTTGGTGTCAGATAGGGTTAGGCTTAGGTTTCAGGGTTATATAGTCAGTTGCTTGCAACTTTAGGAATTCATAATCTTGCACATAGATATTGATGCTGAGACTTTTCAGGACACCAAGATAGTAAAATAAAATTATATAGTCAGTATATGAATTGGACAGTATATTACTGCATTAAATATAGATGCACCATTTGTGGTGGGAAGTAGGAATAGGCTTGAGATGAATTATTAGGAGAAACTGTGACATCTGTCCATGTCTAGTCTCGACAGGAATTTATTCCTCGAAGTCACTATTTCTCTTGATAACTATAAAGTTATTTCTCCTCTAGGATTCATCCTCTGTGGGTGGGGCACAGTGGGTGGGCAGTTTCCTATCACTCTTGAGATGGTAATGTTTAGAGGGTAAAGATACTTAGAAGCAGGGATGACAGTAGGTAAAATTTTAACTAGGTAACATTTGCCTTATGATCAATCTCTTTCCAAGTCCTTCAGGAAGTACTGTTTCTCTTCTGACTTTGGCTGGGGGAGGGGAGGGCGGGTTAGGAGGAAGGAGGGAGGAGTAAGAGCTTTGTTATTCCTTTCAGGGATATTTTTATGTAAATGAGGACAGTGTTTATTCTTGAATGATTAGGGTAATTTAGATATCAAAAGGGATGATGATTGGGGTGGTGGCAGTGCTGGCAAAGGTGGAGAAAGCCCTTCTGGAGTATCTTAGATGATGCTGTAGACAATCAGTTACTTGTATCCACACCTGACGGTCTGGTCAGGTATGATTAAGGATTTCACCTAAGGAGGTAATTTGAAGTTAGGTTGGTCTGAAGGCAAAAATCTCCATCTCCATCTCCATTGTGCACACTCTCTCTTTCTCTACTGCTCTTTCTCTATCAAATTTTTGAGGCTGGGGAACTAGGAAGTGACATAATGCAGGGCTAAGTGTAGAATCTCAACTACCTATTGTTTCCTTTTGATATGTATATAAGTGTAATGGAAACAAAGCAAGATAAAACAAAAACATTTTATTTTACCAATAACTGACATTTAATGAGACAGATGCCTTATATCCATTTTCTCGTTGACATCCCTAGAAAGTAGATTTTGTTTTTATTACGCTACCATCAAAGGATCAACATAATTTTGAAGGAAATACCAAAAAGCATATTAAAAGCTGCAATAATTTTGTGATATGACAGAGACCATGTTGTTAGCTAATTTATAGAAACCGTCCAAGAAACAGATATGATTTGAGGCTGAATTATCTCTTCAAATTGAGCAAAGGAAAGAAAGGGTATACGTTAATCTTATCATGCAGATAGGTTGCATATTATCTTTTGGAAAAGGAACTTTCTGGAAAAAAAATAGGAAAAAATATAAAATAACTCTTAAGTTTTATACTGAGGTATGCGGTAACGAAATTCTTACATGAAACCTGTATTTCCTCATCATCTAAGGCTGGAAGCTCTGCTGTGAAGTTACTTGAACGCGAAGTGGACATCCTAAAAAGTGTGAAACATGAACACATCATACATCTGGAACAAGTATTTGAGACACCTAAGGTAAAGCTGGGCTTCCTTGGTGGCTCAGAGGGTAAAGAATCTGTCTGGAATGTGGGAGACGAGGGTTCAATCCCTGGGTTGGGCAGATCTGGAGAAGCAAATGGCAACCCATTGCAATATTCTTACCTGGAGAATTCCATGAACAGAGGAACCTGGCAGATTATAGTTAAAGGCAAAGCTTTATCAGGTGCTGCATTCTGAAAGTTGTTATTTTTACAAAATTAATATCATCCCCTTGAGAAGTAGTCTCTTTGGGACACAGTGGCTTCTATCTTTGGCATGACTCTGTCACACCACTCTGTCAATGGAGATTGATGAAAAGCATTCTGGAGGACATTTTATTGTTGATTGTATAGTTAGGTGTCTGATGATTAGATTGACGTCTTCAGTGATATTTCTGGTGGCATGTTGGGAAAAAAATGAAACAACTTCAGATATAACCCAGAGTGATCAGAGATTCCGTAGAGGTGGCTTTCCTTTTTGCTTTGGTCCTTGGCTCTGCATTATAGTCCCTTGGAATAGTGTCATAATTCTGCAAGGTTAGCTTCATAGTAGAGTTGGTATGGTTGTTTTCCATTCTGCAAACGTTGTTTATTGCCTGTGAGCTTGGGTGTTTCTCTGCTAGGAGGTGATATGATATAGCAGTTAGGTGTGTTAGATCAGATTGCCTATACAATTTAATCCTGGATCTACCACTTATTAATTGTGAGACCATGGACAAATTACTCAACCTCTCTACTTAAGTTTCCTCATCTGTAAGATAGGTTTAATGATAGTTGTTTTTCAGTTGTTAAGTTGTGTCCAATGCTTTGAAACCCCATGGACTGCAGTATGCCAGGCTTGCTTCTCCTTCACTATTTCCTGGAGTTTGCTCAAACTCATGTCCATTGAGTCGGTGGTGCCATCCAACCGTCTCATCCTGTGTTGCCCCCTTCTCCTCCTGCCCTCAATCTTTCCCAGGATCAGGGCCTTTTTCAGTGAGTTGGCTCTTCACATCAGGTGGCCAAAGTAATGGAGCTTCAGCTTCAGCATCACTCCTTCCAATGAATATGCAGGGTTAATAGTATTAACCACATTTAGTTGTGGAGGGATTAAGTGGGAAAATGGGTATAAAGCATATGTCTCATTGAATGTTAGCTATTGTTCTTTGTTTCCTTTGCCAGTTTCTAAGGCAGCAGTAGTCAATTTGGGTTTTGCATTGTGTTTGATTCATTAGGAGTGCTTGATAACTATTAGAGACGACAGTTACCTTTACAGGAGGCCGTAAATGGCAATGATGCCAAAAGCCTTCTCTGGTTTTTTAGTCTTAGAGTTGTGACTTATTTTATCCTCAGATCTTCTTAGGATAGTTTTGCCCTCTATCACTGGTTTTAACCAGTTTGATTGCGTTGTGCCTTAGTGTAGCTGTGTTCATGTTTCTTGGCTTGGGGTTCATGGAGCTTCTTAGATCTGTGAGTTTATGGTTTTCATAAAATTTAGGAACATTTTGGCCATTATTTTTTCTGCCTTGAAGGACTTTCAAGTACACATGAGATTGTTTGATATTTTCCAAAACTTACTGATTTTCTATTCATTTTTTTTCAATCTTTGTTCTCTCTTTATTGAATTTAGCAGAGTTTCTATTGTGATATCTTCAGATTCTATAACCTTTTTTTCTGTAACATCATATATGCTGTTTATACTTTCTAGTGGAAATTTGATTTGGGTCATTTTTGTATCTTCCATGTTTCTACATAACATGCTCACTATTTCCTCCTTCTTCTTGAATATAGTTATAATAACTTTTACTGATCTTTTCTATTAATTATATCATGTGTGCCATTTTTAGGTCCATTTTAAGTGATTGATTTGCCCCACTTCATTATAAGTTATATTCTCCTTCTTTTTATGCCTGTTCGTTTTTGATTGGATGCTGGCTAATCTTTTATATTCTTACAGCTATTCTTGAGCTTTATTCAAGACATGGTTGAGTTATTTAGAAATAGTTTGATACTTTTAAAGTTTAATTTAAACTGTTTGGTGGCACAACAGAGCCTTTGCTCTGGGTTAATTTTCCCAAAGTAATGAGGTAAGACCCTTCTGAGTACTCTGCCCAGTGTCCCATGAATTATGAGATTTTGCACTCTGGCTAGTGGAACTAGGAACTCTTCCTAGCCTTGTGGAGTCTTCAGTCATTGTTCTGTCTGATCTTTTTGCATGGCACTTTCCCCAACTTTGGGTAGATTCTTTTTTTTTTTTTAATTTACTTTTAATTGAAGGATAATTGCTTTACAGAATTTTGTTGTTTTTTGTCAGACCTCAACATGAATCAACCATAAGTATACATATATCCCCTCCCTTTTGAACCTCCCTCCTATCTCCCTCCCCATCCCACCCCTCTAGGTTGATACAGAGCCCCTGTTTGAGTTTCCTGAGCCATACAGCAAATTCCTGTTGGCTATCTATTTTACATATGGTAATATAAGTTTCCATGTTACTCTCTCCATACATCTCACCCTCTCCTCCCCCCTCCCCATATCCATAGGTCTATTGGCTGTTTCTCCATTACTGCCCTGTAAATAAATTCTCCAGTACCATTTTTCTAGATTCCATATATGTGCATTAGAATATGATATTTATCTTTCTCTTTCTGACTCACTTCACTCTGTGTAATGGGTTCTAGGTTCATCCACCTCATCAAAACTGACTCAAATGTGTTCCTTTTATGGCTGAGTAATATTCCATGTGTATATGTACCACAACTTCTTTATCCTTTCATCTGTTGATGAACATCTAGGTTGCTTCCATGTTCTAGCTATTGTAAATAGTGCTGCAAAGAACAAGGGGATACATATGTCTTTTTCAATTTTGGTTTCCTCAGGGTATATGCCTAGGAGTGGGATTGCTGGGTCATATGGTGGTTTTATTTCTAGTTTTTAAGGAATTTCCATACCATTTTCCATAGTGGCTGTATCAATTTACATTCCCACCAACAGTACAAGAGTATTCCCTTTTCTCTACAGCCTCTCCAGAATTTATTGTTTGTAGACTTTTTGATGATGGCTATTCTGACCAGTGTGAGGTGATATCTCATTGTAGTTTTGATTTGCATTTCTCTAATAATGAGTGATGTTGAGCATCTTTTCATGTGTTCGTTAGCCATCTGTATGTCTTCTTTGGAGAGTTGTTGGTTTAGGTCTTTTTCCCATTTTTTGTTTGTTGTTTGTTTTTCTGGCATTGAGTTGTATGTTCTGCTTATATATTTTGGAAATTAATCCTTTGCCAGTTGTTTCATTTGCTATTATTTTTTCCCATTCTGAGGGTTGTCTTTTTACCTTGCTTATAGTTTCCTTTGCTGTGCAAAAGCTTTTAAGTTTAATCAGGTCCCGCTTATTTACTTTTGTTTTTCTTTCTGTTACTCTAGGAGGTCGGTCATAGAGGATCTTGCTTTGATTTATGTCATTGAGTGTTCTGCCTATGTTTTCCTCTAAGAGTTTCATAGTTTCTGGTCTTACATTTATGTCTTTAATCCATTTTGAGTTTATCTTTGTGTATGGTATTAGGAAATGTTCTAATTTCATTCTTTTACATGTAGCTGTCCAGTTTTCCCAGGACCATTTATTGAAGAGTCTGTCTTTGCCCCATTGTATATTCTTGCCTCTTTTGTCAAAAATAAGGTGCCCATAGGAGCATGGGTTTATTTCTAGGCTCTCTATCTTGTTCCATTGGTCTATATTTCTGTTTTTGTGCCAGTACCATACTGTCTTGATGATTATAGCTGAAGTCAGGAAGGTTGATTCCTCCAATTCCATTCTTTATCAAGACTGCTTTCACTATTTGGGGCCTTTTGTGTTTCCATATGAATTGTGAAATTTTTTGTTCTAGTTCTGTGAAAAATGCCATTGGTAATTTGATAGCGATCATACTGAATCTGTAGGTTGCATTTGGTAGTATAGTCATTTTCACAATATTGATTCTTCCTACCCAGGAACATGGAATATCTCTCCATCTGTTTATGTCATCTTTGATTTCTTTCATCAGTGTCTATAATCTTCTGTGTGCAGTTCTTTTGTCTCCTTAGGTAAGTTTATTCCAAGATATTTAATTCTTTTTGTTGCAGTGGTCCATGAGATTGATTCCTTAATTTCTCTTTCTGATTTTTCATTGTTAGTTTATAGAAATGCAAGTGATTTCTATGTATTGATTTTGTACCCTGCAACTTTGCTAAATTCACTGATTAGCTCCAGTAATTTTCTGATACTATCTTTAGGGTTTTCCATGTACAGTATCATGTCATCCCCAAACAGTGAGAGCTTTATTTCTTCTTTTCTGATCTGGATTCCTTTTATTTCTTTTTCTTCTCTGATTCCTATAGCTAGGACTTCCAGAACTATGTTGAATAATAGTGGGAAAAGTGGACACCCTTGTCTTGTTCCTGATCTTAGGGGGAATGCTTTCAGTTTTTTACCACTGAGAATAATGTTTGCTGTAGGCTTATCATATATGGCCTTTACTATGTTGAAGTAGGTTTCTTCTATACCCATTTTTTGAAGAGTTTTAAACATAAATGGGTGCTGAATTTTGTCCAAGGTTTTTTCTTCATCTATTGAGATTATTCTATGGTTTTTATCTTTCAATTTGTTAATATGGTGTATCACATTGATTGATTTGTGATTTGCATATATTGAAGAATCCTTGCATCCCTGGAATAAACCCAACTTGATCATGGTGTATGAGCTTTTTGATGTGTTGCTGAATTCTGTTTGCTAAAATTTTCTTGAGGATTTTTGCATCTATGTTCATCAGTGATATTGTCTGATAGTTTTCTTTTTTTATGTTGTCTTTGTCTGGTTTTGGTATCAGGGTAATAGTGGCCTCGTAGAATGAGTTTGGAAGTGTTCCATCCTCTGCAACTTTTTGAAAGAGTTTTAGAAGGATAGGCATTAGCTCTTCTCTAAATGTTTGATAGAATTCTCATGTGAAGCCATCAGGTCCTGGACTTTTGTTTTTTTGGGAGATTT